GACATCCGCTCGAGCTGAAATTTTACGTGTGATCAGGCATTGTCATAAATCTTTTTCCTGGAAAATTTAAGGAGTTAGTATTATGTACGTTTAGATGATACAACCGGTAGGATACTTTTGCACGTTACTGTATATTCGCGTTATAATAATACCGATCTTGAGCATGTTTCGCAAATGTGCCGCCTGGCCGATAAAGCCATTCGATTACTACATTCTGGGGTTTCTTGGCTGAATTAATACGCTTTTTCCATAGACGGTATATTGCTGCTCGATTTTTTCATACAAAGTTACAAAATATACTACTTGCATTTTAAATTCCCTAAATTTAGAATTATAACCCATGTATTCATTCCGTGTTAAATTGTTTTTACAAAATTTTGCCAACCATCCTTATCAGGAATATCGTATCCAGGTATCAATCAATATACGTCTACGCATATTTTTGGGTGGACGATACTTTGCGAATCGTAACCAAGCTCGTGGCGTTTTTAAATTTTTAATATAGTTTAATCATATTCAGTTATAAATCTTCGTTAAACCGGGAGTTAAACACATATGAATTAATCGGTTCCATAAAAAGCTTCGTTATAAGGCTATCTTCGTTAAACGGACCTTCGTTAAACGGACCTTCGTTAAACGGACCTTCGTTAAACGGACCTTCGTTAAACGGACCTTCGTTGTAACAACCAAAATCGTGACTTGGAGTGTTTGCGGGAATTGGCCAATCAGAGGCCACCAATATTGGCGGATCAAATATCAATGTTAATGTTATAGTAATAGCAATAGTAATAGTTAGCATTCTGACCGTCACTTTAGACTTCATGGAAAACTATCCGGGTGAATTCGTTTTTCACCATTATCCATTAATGGCTGTAATGGGCCTGGGGGCTCATAAGGACATTGAGAATTCTATATCGCCTCCGTCGTCACCTAATCAACCAAAATCTCCTGCATCAAGACGTAGCTCGACAAGTACTCCAACTCATTCAATATCAACACGACTGCAGCTGTCAAGAATTTTACTTAATATATTATTGGCTAAAGGCCAGGATAATGTATGGGAGCCACCTAAGCACGGAAATGTAATGTTTCGTGTGGTAGCATTAGAAAAGAATCACCAATTCCCAGTCAAAAGGACAGGAAATAAAGCACTGTCGTCTACTAATTCACATTCATCGCTGTCTCCAATGACACCTGATTCTCCATTGTATCCCGATGGCGTGTTTACTCCAATATGGGTGAAGAAACACCGGGAGGCAATTCCCTCTGTCGTTGTTGGGTTCTATGACTTGTGGGAATGGTCAATGGGAGGAGTGTCGATTGAAGAAAGAGAAAAGCTGCCACCTGTACCAGAACCATTGGGTAATATTAACCCTATAGAAAAAGAGAAGGACACCGACCTTATAGCTGAGATTAACGAACGAAAAAAGAGTATTACAGATCGAGGAATTAAATATACCGTTGTGATATTATTGAAGTCACAACATGTCGGTGAGAAATGACTAACAAAATGATTGCTGCCAATATATATCTCTATCTTACATTGATTCTTTTGACAGACGACTCCAATATCGATGAGAGATTGAATTATATAAAAAAAATGTGCAGTCTTGAAGGAAAAAATATGTTTTTTGTCCTTCCTCCAAGCTCTCCAAACGAACTACAAGAGTTTGCCACAAAGTAATTATATGATATTTGTCTTTTGCATTTCCTGTTTGCTTGATCTTGCTATCTCGTATAATTATTCGATTAATTTAAATCTAGTCTTCAGAAGTCACTTTATGATCATGCTCTCGCGTATTATCGTGAGCTTAGTAAACGTATAAAGAAGAAGCGATCTCGATTACCATCAACCACAAGTGGTCCAAATATACGCCGTGAAGAAAAGTCAGATAATACCCACCAACCATTAATCGTTCAAGGATGGATGATCAGATATGATTATAAAATGGCGACGTTCGCAGAATTTAGACAAGAGATCGATTCTGCTATCAAGTGAGTCACAATGACAGAATTTAAAAAATCAGAGATATGTTAACCGTAATAATTATAACACATATATATGTAGGTATTACATATCAGCATACGATCTGTTAGTAGATATGTTCGCTCCTGTTCCACAAATAACGCCCAATGCTCCCCGACTGATTCCGCGAACGAAGCGATGGGCAGAGGCAAAAGTGCTTGCTGACAGTATGAATCTCAAAGTAATACTTTAATGCTGCTACTAAATATCTATATGGTGATGAATTAATGATTGTTTAACGAATATGAGTATACAATGCAGTATATAACGTTATATGCATATTTTTCCTTTCTCCAGATCTGCAAGTTATATCTTTATCTCTCTGGCTATACTCAATCAGTATCTCATCTTAACAAGCATATTTCTACCTTTCACGATCTATCCAATTCGTTTCATATGGGCGAGGACACGTTCGAATACTGGGCATGGAAGACTAAGCAATATCGATCATTTGGAGATTTACTTGATATTGCTGTCAGAAATGGATTTAAGATTCCATCTTTTGAGACGTGGACAAGTGGATATGAGAATCGAGGTGGAGGTGGTAGTGGATATGGAATGGGATCGGGATCGGGAGTAGCCACTGCTGGGGGTGCTGATCCCAGATTAATATTGCAACATGCTGGTTTCCATTACCATCAAGCTGCGATGTGTAATATAGTACGACGAAGGAAATTCTTGGCGGTGGAAGCAGTGAGTTTGCTAAACAATAACAATATAGTACTCACTATAAGCTCTTAATAACCCTATTTCTCTTTATGGCTACACTCTAGTTATCAAAAGAGTCATCCGATGCTCCCAATCTTCCTCCCCAAGCATTACTTACAGCCGAAGGTAGTGTTGATCATTCTGCTCTGACCATCGAATTGCTCACCAAATCATATGAACAGTTCAAAAAGTACAAATCTGGTCGAATGACGTTGTATCTGGCATCAGAAATAGCCGGAACATATTTTGATGTTAACAAATACGAAATGGCTTTAAGGTACGAGCAAACGGCACACAGATAGTATCCAATGTCGACATGTCGACTCGCTAACTTTTTGTAATGATTTAGATTCTTTGAGCGTATAGCGAAAACATATCGCAAAGAATCTTGGCATACTGTCCTAGAATCAATATTACGATGGTCTTTGAAGTGTGCCAAGGAAATTGGGTCCTGGGACACTGCAATTGAGATAATGGTCGAATTGCTATCTGATCGTAAGAATTCAAACCAACATGAAATGCTGCCAGTAAAGATTTATTTTTCCCTTGCTTATTAGATTTGGTTTTGACTCAATTCAGCTTTTCTGAATTTGCAATTCAGGATTTACAATGAGTGAAGAAGCAAGACTCGAGGTACAGAATGATTTGAAAAGTATCTTGTTTCAGGTAAGGAAGTAGCTCTATATATATATATATATTCGTATTTTTTGAGTGCCTGTTATGATATTAAACAGACGCTTGTATTTTTTCTGATTCTAGCCAAACAGTCCTTCATCTACACTCCGAATTGACATGGATCAAATCAACTCATTTGGTATATTATATCTGCACAAGCTGTATCATTATCTAATTCTCAAAAATAATACTAATATTTTTAACACATTCTAAACCCAGTAACCGTACACTTTCAATTTAAACGATCAACAACGTTTGTTGGCACATCGACACCATTTCAGCTCTCACTCGGCACTTCTCATACATCACCCCCGGTTCCATTTCAACTCTCGTTTATTCGATTAATATTCAGTGATCCATACTTTAATCATTATATACGATGTGGACATATAACTAATAGTGAGAAGAGTAAAGAAAAGCTGCAGTATGTGGATATTAAAAATGTAAAGCAAGAAGAGATCGAGGAAACTGGAGTCGTATGGGTGAAGGACGTTGAATCCGAGATAAGGAAGAATAGTATTGTCGTATTTGAAGGTCTTGTTATACCTAAGGAGAGTGGTGACTTAACAGTAAGTTAACATACAACGTTATGACATTAGTGTGTAACTGTTATTCAGGCATTTGTTTATTTTCTAGTTAATGTCTGTATGCTTAGGCATAGTTACATCTTCTTGGAAAGTAGAATTGAACTTTAGCATTAATGAGCAAGGGGAAGGTATTCCACGACGCAAGTGGATTGAGCTAGGGACTGAGAATGAAGGTGAAAGATAAATTGTAAACCGAAAGGTGTAATTTTGAATCTAGTAATTATCTACATTTAACAAATGTTCGTTATTTCAGTTACTAGACCCAGATTTATCAATCTTGAAGGATCCGGAGATCGACCATCTATAAAGTAATTTCATTCATTTTATTATGCAAGTTGACTTATTTATATCACTCTTTTACTCCTATCGCTTACTGCATATTCTACGTCTATTTTCGTCTGTAAAGAGTAATTCAGAAACAAGCAAAAATTGACTTTAAGGCCTCGCATCACCCTCCAGCCCTCTTAAATGAAATGTATCCCATCGAGCTTAAAATCACAAATAACGAACCGGAAGAAGTAAGGGTGATTATGAATGCTGAAATAATGGCTGCTGATGCACAGGGTAATCGCATATAATCAATTTTGTGTTAAATATTAAATTTGATACTAACAATTTTCTTGTGTATGACAGCTTCCGACGAGTATATAACCTGTGATTCTGCTGGCGAAGAGATATCATCTCCAACACTAAAAGATACCGATCTTGGAGTTATTCAATCGGGAGAGTCTATTACAAAGGTCATTTATATCGCCGGAGAGAATACGGCTATTTCGAGAATATTACAGATATCGGTAAATTTTTTTTCCTTTTTTCAACAGTACAATTTAACCTTAAAGCTTTTCTGGCAAGTCGATTTACCAAATAATTTCTAACAGTTGTGGTACGCCATATCGTCTTCCTTGCCGACACACCCGCCACCCGCCCAAGGCTGGATTGAAAAGCAAGAAGACATCCGCATTCAATATACCCTCCCTTTTGATATTACATTTTCTAACCTTCCCCAAAGCGCTCCGCCGGAATATCATAATAAACATCAAGCCATCTCAATTGATCGAATAGACAGATATCTCTTGGTAGCACGAGTGGAAAATGCTAGTCCATGGGTATTGGATGTTGAAAGTGTTGAACTGATGACAGATAATGGAACTAGAGAAGACAACATTGTGTTGGAGGTCGAAGCGAAAGCAGTTGAAATTGAAGAGAGAAATCAGAAAAAATGTAAGGAGTTTGATTGGGTAGAGATGCTAGTTGAATATAAGGTTAAGCAAACATAGACGGCTTTGTAAAGTTGGAATAAGCTTATATCATCATTTATTTGATGCTATTTTAAAAATGATTTCATCCACATTAGATATTTCCATCAAGCTGATATCTACTCTTTTCTCATAGTGCCATGGAAACCAGGCTATATATTTCAAGGAAATTATTTACTCCGTCTCACTATACCTGATATTACGTCTATACCGAAGTCTGTCGATATTGGAGCTCTTGCTGTCAAATGGCGACGGTAGTTATGAAAAAGAAAAGATAAGGCTAAATTTAGTAGTATTATACTAATATTTTCCAATTGTTTATATAACGTTGTCAACAGTCAAGGAACGATTTCGCCGGTGAAGCTGACTACAACAACCATTCCAGTAACGCCTCTACTTCTCCGACAGCCTGACCTATCCGCAGTAATATGTGAGATTTCGTCTCCCTTTGCTCTCCTGCTCACTCTAAGTAATATGTCGCTTAATATTTTGTCTCCGTAATTCTTCTTCCTCTCCACACTCATTTCTGGCCACAGCGATTCCACCAACCCTAAAAGTAGGACACCTTTTCACTCTTACGTATACTCTTTATAATCAGACACCGGTTACTGCCGAAATATCCGTCTCTGTGGAAGTAAACGAAGCATTTGTTTTCTCTGGATATAAGCAGACATTCTTCAGGGTTCTTCCATACAGTGAATATGTATTCAGAGTGAATTGCTTCCCATTAGGTGCAGGTAAGATTCGACTGCCAAAAGCCAAGTTTGTGAACAAGAGGGATGGAGGAGAGGAGATCAAAGTTATTGGAACAGGAGTGAGAGATCTTATTGAGGATGAATGGTATATCGTGTTTGTTAAGCCGAAGACAGAGTTTTAAAAACTAGTTGTTTCGAAATAGCAAAGAGATGTTGATGTATATTTAGATTATGTATTTAATAAACTTATGTTAATGAAATCTTGTTAACGTAGCGTGGTATTCGATTGAAAGATTCTTAGTTATCGGATTCGTAATATAACTTCTTCATTCTTCTGTATTTCTTTAGAAAATAAAGAGCTTCCAATTCTTCAAATTATGAAAGATTAATTCTCAACGATTGAATGATGGGTGTGGGCAAAAATTTGCGTTTACAAATTTCCAATACCTTTCATCACATATTCTCCCTTTGCAATAGCTTGTTTGATTTCTTCTTCGTCAGTTAGATTTTTATTATTCATAAACGCATTTTTGAGTTTTGGCTTGAAATAAGAATATCCTAATGGATATGATCGACCCATATAAAGTAACTGGAGAATGAGTAACCAACGTCGGTCAGCACAAACGGGGAAAAAGGTTGATTGAACGAGTTCGTATAAACATTTACTCTTTTATATAAATCTTTTACTTGAGAGCGAAGCTGACTTGACATTTCCTATTTTGCATACAGAACAAGTCTGTCGATCTATATGTAGTATGACGTAATTGTTACTAGCTCATTATCAGTGTTTAGTAATACAATACATTGCTGCGGAATTCTCCTATTACAATAGTTAAAGTTTTTTGCTAAATTTAAAGTGAAACAGACACTTGCATGAGCATTTATATCTTTATCACACCTAGAAAGGTGTTAACTCTATATCTACTATGGAGCTTGTATTCGCCGGGCCGAGTCTTAATAAATTGGTTAGTGGTCAACAGCTGTAATAGCGTGTCTTGTAGCTGAGAGTGCATATAGACATTTAGCTTCATTGCGTAATGCCCTTCCACTTATATTTGATCGCCTAACATCTGCCTCTCGTTATTGTTATTAGGAGCAAGAAGAATTAATATTCAACAACTCTCAGTCCTATTACTTTAAATCAACCCGTTCTAAATCAAATAAAGGCAAGGCACCTCGACATACAATAGAAGAACGTGTGTGTGATCTAACATATACCGGCAACGAATATCTGATTGAAGACGATTATGCCTCTGCTCTTCCTTTTCTGAATGAAGCTGTGTCACTTGCGCCTGATTGTCTTGTTGCATTGGGTATTCGTGCTGAAGTACACCGGTTATTGAATTTATACGACAAGGCATTGGAGGACATTAACAAAGTACTAAAGTATCAACCAGACAGCGTATTTGCGTTAACTAACAGAGGAGAAGTCCATAGAATGTTAGGACACACTGAAGAAGCTCTGAAGAATCTAAATAGAGCATTAGAAATAAGACCAAACAATATCCGAAGCTTAGAGTCAAGAGGAGCACTATTCCAAGAGTTGAGGAGACATGAAGAAGCATTAAGTGACCTCAACCGAGTGCTCGAAGCTGAGCCAGAGAATACGTTAGTATTAGCATGTCGTGGTACGGTATATAGGATGATGAAGGAATACGAGAAAGCTATGAACGATCTAAATGCAGCTGTGGAATTGAACGAGATGGATGCGTACGCACTAGAACAAAGAGCGAACTTATTTCATGTTATGTGCGAGTATGAAAAGGCTCTTGCTGACTTCACCAGGTCGTTAGAAATAGAACCAAATAATATTTATGCTCTATCAACTAGAGCGGAAGTATACAGGATGATGTATCGATATGATGAAGCAATGAGTGATTTAGATAAGACTTTAAAGATTAAACCAGATACAGCACATGCGCTGGAGATAAGAGGAGCGACATACAGAATGACAGCAAAATATAAGGAAGCACTTGAGACTATAAATCGCGCTATTGAAGTAGGATCAGAAGGCCCGTTTCCGTATGTTATCAGAGGGGAAGTGTATTTTAAGCTGGGAATGAAAGAAATGGCGCTAAAAGACTTTACTAAAGCACTCGAGATAGAGTCAACTGAGATATGGGCCCTATGTTATCGTGCTCAAATATACTATGATATGGGAAGATACAACGAAGCAATAGAAGATCTGGACAAGTCTTTAACTGTGCAGCAGAAAGAGTGGTTTCCCCTTGCTGCTCGTGGAGCAGTATACAGGTCAATGGGAGACTATGACAAAGCCTTATCTGATCTGAATGCCGCATTGAGTTACAAGACTAACGATCTTCATGATCTCCAATTTCAAGTGACAGCTTTGCAGAACCGAGGAAGCGTTTATAGGATTAAGGGTGAATATGAGAAAGCACTTGCAGATTTAACTGAAGCAATAAATAGAGACATGGGCACAGTGTTTGGATTGAGTACACAAACAATAGTGTTTACTCTATTTGAGAGAGCGGCGGTATACGATAAATTCGGTGACCATGATAAGGCAAGAAATGACATTATAAAGACAATGCAGATAGGTATCGAAACGATAAAGCACGTCAAGAGGAAATTAAGGGAGGGGGAGAAGGGGGAGAGTAAGGAGGATACAGGTAGGAGCGACAATGTAGTTGAAGAAGAAAATGGGAATATGACTGCCAATGACTATAACAGTCCCGCTGACAGTGGGATTGGATGTGACTTTGCAAGTAGAAGTGAAAGTCCGTGAAACGGAAATTATTGACGATCGCCTACGTAAATAGTATATTGCATATTGGTGTATCAAATACTAGAAGTAATTTATTTATATAAACTGTCCATAAGTAAATATTTTATTCCTTTCCTTTTCCTTTCCTTTCCTTTCCTTTCTTCCTTTTCCTTTACTGATATTCATGCGCTCATGCGTTGTCTTCTGGAACCGCTACAGGTTCTTCACTGCATGCTAAGAGTGTTTGTAGATGAAACTGTAATTTATAACTTTGTTCAAGTATATTAGTCAATTGTAAAGTATACAGTTGTGCAGTCTAAATTGTCAAAGATATGAGATTAGCACACGATTCGATTGTCATAATAAACAAGATTGGAAATGTTTATAATGCAACGACCTCTTGTAAACTATCTCTCTGTTCAGTGAGCTTGGCTACTTCTTCTGACACTGTATCCATTTGTATTATCTGGTTGCTAGATAGACCATTTGATTTCTTTTATGCATAATGACGCAACTGTTATAATGTGACAAGTAACAGATAATACAAACGCACGACATTGAAGCTTGTTTGCTCATTGTATACCTCATTTGTATCTTTTTCTTCTTCACTTCTTTTATTCTCAATTGAACGAACAATTTCTTTCAACCCTGCTTCCAGTGCCTGATACTCTACTAATGCTTCTTTTAATTTTGTAAAACTCCCATCTGCGGTGCTATTGTCTGATGAATATGAAGCCAATGCGGCAAATACTTTTCCAGCAGCTGATACGAGACTGTCTAACTTGGAGAGAGCTGTCAATGTTTCGGATTCAAGTGTTGTTTGGGTTGATGCCATGCTATGCAAATGATGTATGGATATTATCGTATCTCCCACTTTTACATCGCACAGTATAATTCCTATATAAGGAGTAATCTTCATTGTAAGACCAACATTAATTCCGGTCATTATTATGTTAAGATACTATATATAGGAATTATACTTAACGTTAACATCAAGCGTGGGATATTTGTGGAATGTGCCACGAATTATAGTCAACTATTTCTAGTTTGGGAATTAGCTATTATGCATGTACACGTGACCCGATTTTTTTGAGTCACCAAACATGACTTTAGCGAATCGTCCTATAAAATCGATTTTAGCGAATCAATCTTGATACTTAAATCAGGTCATTAATATCTTCTAACATCAGGTCATATTTAAATTACTTTTGTGTATTAGTGTTAGTCATACTGAGACACTAAATATGATCAACGAATGAATTTTAACTATTTAAGAAGCGTAGTCATCTAACAATTTGTTAAATAATTGCTATAATTGTATTAAAATCTCGTCTTTCAATAAACGCTATTCTTTTACGCCTCAAAAAATAAGATTATTTTATCAGATGCTCAAAAATATGAGCTTTACCTGTATGTTCGCGATAATGAGAAAACTCGAACAAAATTGTTAACCGGGTTGAAACAATGTAATGGTCAATGAATTTACAAAGGAACAAGTAAACATGGCAAATATTCTTGAAACGTATACTAGAGAGCGAAAGGCTAATATGATGCGACAGACAATAGATTATGCGAAACTAATAAGTACTATCGCGAGGGACTTTTATTCACAACAAGGTGCTCGCTAAAGCCCTGTGAAACTAATAAGTAGAACGTATTAATATCGTTATTTAGAGTATCACGTGATTTACAATACCTCTTTAATCAATATGAATGTTACATGAAAAGTTCATTAAGCTCATTGTTTTGTTATTCTTATCCACTAACTTTAGCCTTAGATAAGCTAAGAAGTTCTTGTAGGTCAAGGATGTATTGCAGCAGAAACTCAGAAAGAGTCTTTAACATTACGAGCTTGTAACCCGACGGTCTAACTGCATAAGTGTCGTGCGTAATGTCAATGAATTAAATACTCCACACACCACTATCTTAATCAAACATAAAGTACTAAGTTTTTACTAGTGGCTAGTTTCCTTAACTGTAGCTCTGGATAATCATAGATAGATAATAGAAGTGGGACATATATAGATTTATAAGACGCTTATGTATTTTTATTTATTTATGTATGCTTTGTTGGTTAGGAAAATAAGGGTGTGACCAATAAAGGACTCGAAAACCCAATGAATTAAATATACTGTATGACATAATATTTTTCTTAACGTAAATTATACTCATACTATGCTCTTTACACACGAAAATAAATTATTATATGATATAACACATAAAATCACTGTAAAGATCGAGATTCACAATGCTATAATATTCCGAGATTACTACTACTGTATTATAGTGGGAGATGATAACAATGAAACTGGAGAATGTTATTGGGATCTTCATTCACATGTGGATAATCTAGCATATAAATGGGGCATATGCTCTATGTTAATGTGATTCAGATATCGATATATTATGTTTTTTTTTGTTTTCTAGAGGTGAAGACAGGAATTTCAGTTTATGATGAGATGCAAACATCCTTTCTAATGAGAACAGCAGGAACATGATGAAGGTAATAAATAGGTGATTTGGTCTACTGTTCAATTAATGCTTCAAGACACACTGCAGCCTCACTTCTTGTTTACATCGCTGTTGTTAAATTTTATTGCATATAAAGTAAGTTGTGAAGGTGGTAAGAACAAGCAAAACTGCTCATCTGTATTTACTCATTGCTTATCATTATATTTATATGTTCTGGCCAATCAGAAATGAGCCCATTCCAGGAATAGGCCAAGCCCGTGTTACAATTCTTGCCTGCCTGCAATCCATTTATATTGATCGTCTCGTCGTGTTCTCATGTCAATGAGGTCAATCTAACATAAATACCATAAATTATGTGTCCACCTAAATACTTTAAGCTCATTAACGTCATACACTCGTACCCCGTTTATATCCCTACCCATTTACCGGATGTATCTCCAAATTTTGTAAAAACAAATGGCCTTTTGAGAACGAATGTTTCTTTTTGTGCCAGTTATATCCCCAAAATTCTGATAACCGAATATAATAATCCGAACCCGTTTATATCCCCAAGTTACACCAATTGCTAAAAAAGACTGCATGCAATTTACATGTTATTTACTATTTCATATCCCTGGCTTTTAGCCACATTTCTTTATTGATTCAGTTTAGTCTTGTCTAGATAGCTTTGCTTCTATTCATGTACTAGCTGTCTAAAAACAGCTTTAGCAGTTATCTGTAGCTGTTAATATAAAGATCTTACATTAAAATTTTTTTTTTACATGTTATTTGTAACGCGATGGACGTTAGGCAGTGTAATAAATTTTCGGGTTATTTTCGCGTCATTTTCACGTTATTTGTTTGACATTTACATAGAATGTTGTGAATAAAAGTCCCTCGCGATAGTTATGTACATGAAATTTGATCTATGATATTAGAATGTCTTCCAAGTAGTGATGATGATGAAGATAAAGGAGAGGAGGAAAGATCCATTATCACTTATAAAGAAGGTAAAAAAGCGGTTGGTATATTCAAACAGTATATTGAACAGCTAGATCACGCAACTTGCAAATGATATTTTTTTTCTGAACAACTTAATGAAAAAGGCTGAAAAAGAACACATCGTTGATAATAACATTGTACGTATATATTTGAATAACCCTCTTTTTTTTTGCATTATCATTATCATTATGATTCTTGCAATGTGACTACGAAATTAATATATTACTACGAGATCATCCTTACCCCCCACTTTTGGGGCTGAACGAAAGGGGGATATAAACGGGGTATGTGTATTAATAGGTAACACACATCTTGTGTAACAAATGTATTTATGAGAGAATATGCCCTTTTCAGAGTAGAGTAAAGCAACTAAATACAAGATGCACCCAAGAAATAGATACAATACTCAACCCGACTTTCATGTACTTGCTTTCAAATATCCAAAGTTCAGGAAACAGTAAGCAAGCATCTGTATTTGGTGTTTGGTGATGATAATAACTACATATTCCAATTAATCTTATTTGTTTCTTAGCGTGCGTTATGATAAAGAGAATAAAGCTTATATAGATTTTCATGATCCAGATGCGGTGCGGTAAGACTCCAAAATCTTGTTTGGTACGACAATATTTCGTATTATTATTGACTGCATTCTAATTAATCAGAGAATTATCCTATACATTGTTAAAGAATGACTTTGGATTGTACTTGGAGATACCAAACGATGCGCTTTGTCCAATGGTAAGAATAACAGTTTGCACTTATTGACGGAACATTGTTCTGACGTAAATCCATTGACTGCAGGTTCCAAACAGGTCAGCCTCTGTCAATCCTGTTGTGATATTGATGAGCCTAGTACAGAATACGAGATTTGTTTGCATCCAAATAGGCTTAACTACATCCACTGGATCGAAGATCTAATTTGCGATGTCGTATCAAGCACAGAAGATGTCTATGGAATCGATATGTAAGAACGTTGATTAATTATTGATTTTTGCAAGTACTAATTCTTGCTTTAAACTTAATTTAGAGGCACTGGTGCATCATGCATATATCCTCTTCTTGGTTGTGCATTGAACGCGAACTGGAAATTCTTGGCCACCGGTGAGCATGATAAAGGGTTATAATAAGACAATAATAAATCATGTGACATGCGTGTGCTGACTGTTAATTCCAACGTTTTCTATTTACGCCCATCGGTTGAAGACGCTCACAAAAGGCTTCTTGAAGCTGCGATGAATAATGTTGAAAAAAACAATCTTTCTGACAGAATAACTTTACTACTGAATTCATCGAATAGAAAACTCCCCATTGATGATGTGCCTGAAAGAGAGTATGTTCATTTTTTTACATGTGATGCATGCACAGAAAAGACAACCAGCCTTACCAGCTGATGCCCACCTTTTACTAGTTATGCCTTTTGTATGTGTAATCCACCATTCTACGAAAGTGTCAAACAGCACGAAATAGCTGCTGCAAACAAAAAGAAGCCACCATCTTCGGTAATGCATTTTTAATAGAATGTGACCATTCCACAAATGTATTTTATAATGTATCTTCTTTGTTAACATCTTGATCATATAGACATGCACAAGTTCCCAAGACGAAATGGTGACCCCTGGTGGGGAATATCAATTTATTAAGGACATTTTAGAAGAGAGTCTTGTCTTTCGAAGGAGAATATCATGGTATACATCGATGATTGGAAGACTAGAGACAGTTGATTTGATAGTTGCAGAATTGAAGAAACACAAGGTTAATTAGCGTTCACGTTGGTGTTGTCAATTGAATCATCAAATAGGTTAAGTAATAATTTTATCCCTACTATATCAGTAGATTGACAATTTTGTTTTAACCGAGTTTGTACAAGGGAAAACACGACGATGGGGGATTGGATGGTCGTTCGGGAACCAAAGACCTCCAATGGTAAGCATTGATATAGTTTTTGTTCAGTTAATGTTGCTTATGCTCAGTTCATGTTAATCGCGTAGGCCATCTCCCAACCGTCATCAAGAAAGCTCCGCCACGTCAAACCACCAATATCAGAGTTTGTAACTACTTGGGATACCAACCCAACCTCGCTCTACTTTGCCATAACCTCCATTCTTACTGAAGCCCTTGTTTCCTATCAACGGAATAGTGACAGTGCTGTTGAGAAGAGCAATGACTTCAACGATGATAGTATATTGTGTTCTGGAGCTGTATTTGTTGAGACGTGGTCACGTAAAACACGAAGGAAGATTGCTGCTGGAGAAGACATTACATTGAATGTTGAAACTGATCAGCCTTTATTCAAATATGCGATTAGGTTGGAGAAAAGCACTGAGAAAAATACTGAAGCGCAAGATCGAATGAAGACAAAGTTGACAGTTTCTTGGATATGGGGAGATAACAGAAATATATTTGAGAGCTTTTATTTGCATTTGAAAAGAAGGCTGGATGAGAAATTCAAAACAGATAAGAAACAAAAGATTGAAAGAAACGACAAAACAACGAGTTAATCCCGCGGGGAAACAACATTGAAGTATGTCAAAAAGGCGCATATGGCCTGGAGATTGCATTTATTAATCACATCTGGATCTTAAAGTTTGAACTTCTGTGTCATATATGTGCAGTGTGTTGGAAAGATGAAAATTTGTAAGTAAAAATAAAATCATGACTTGACGTTGTTGTCGATGGAGAATACTAATACATTTGCTATAGCGCATAACAGAAACCGCGTCAACGCATAGATTTTCAATCTTATCAACCATCAGTCTGCATACTACAAGTATCCAATGCACATGTCCGTTTGTCTAAATAGTTATTTACATTTACATAAGACTAGTTACGGCAATCATATAAGGTGAGGATATCTTTTCCATCTATAAATGGTAACTGAATCGACACTTTATAATTTACCATAATAAAAACTGTATGCATTCTTGTCAGTGTTAGTATTCTGTAGTTTCTGGTCTGCAACTTTATACAGACATCTCATTATTATGTCACTCGCGTCATAGACCGAACAGTCCTTGGTCATTTACGAGACAAAAGCAATTCCCTTATTGGGTGCTCTTCTTTTTTTTGAACCGCGCGGTTATACTGTAACTGATGCGCTGATGCGGTCGTACATATCAAATTGTAACCCAGTATTTTACAAAGCAGGTTTTGGATGCCAATATGCTATTAACGCCCACTAGTTCAGAGAAAAGAAGACAACGTATTTTATAATTTGCACCAAAGTGACCAAAAAAATAGGTTATATTCATAAATAGCGTTAAGTGTATCAATTATTGTTATATCGTAAATTCCTATTTTATGAAAACATGGGCACAATCATCTCCGTACAATTCAAATCACATACATACAAAAATGTTTGCAGTCGGACAGTCTGATTTGATGCATGCAATTGTTCTACAACGTGATATAACGCGCACACGTTCTTTTGATAACCTACTTGAATTCGCCAACTTTAGAGATCAATACAAGAATGACCACCCTAACGTTGATAACAAAGCAAGGTAAGCAAGCAAGCAATACACGTTTATTGGGAGGATAGTTAGAAGGTTATCAACACAACAGTTAATAGGTTATTATTATACATAAACTCATTCATTTGCCTTCATTATTGTTTGCATTTTGCTGTGGGCAAACTAGCCGGCTCATCGGCAGATAAGCACCTCGGCGTCGAGCAGGCGGAGCGTGAGCCTTTTTAATTTCTTGTCCAACTTCAACAGAACTTCGACGCCCGTACTCTCCTGCTGAATTCGAAAGCTCTCTTGAAAACGTTCGAACTAGCGTTACTGTTTTCCTTAGCCGTGTACTGGCATTGCAGCACTTGCTCATGCAAAAAACTTTGTTATATTTAGTGGCATACCCGCTGGAAGACGGTGGACTGTCAACTCGGTTATCGACCGTAATGACGTTTGTTACGCCGGACCCGATGAACAATGAGCTGATGAAAAGAATCAGGCGCAAGGAGTTGATAGCGCTTCATGGTGCGCGGGCGAGTGGCAAGTCACACGCGAGTCTACAGAACAATACAAGAACTCGCGCGTTCTGGAAACCACTGTTTAAATACTTGTCTCAATAATTCACCATCTTTCCATGTGCGATACGCTTACTACTCGCCTTCGTCTTTTAATAGCATAAATCTTCAGACTGCTGATTTTAGAACGATCGAAGGCCTCTGGATGAGCATAGATAAAAATCTTCGACATTATGCTCCAGAAGCCTTGGAAGGCTGTCCGCCCATCAATACTGGAGATGATTTTGTGACCCTGTTCTCTAAATTAAAATGAGATCGCGTAGTCGTTTTCCTCGACGAAATTGACATACTGTACGAGGCGGCCCCAGCGGCTCGAGTCGTATGCTTAATTGCAGTCATTTATGAATTTTATCACATTTATTTGCATAAAGGTAAACATGGTATTCTCTATTTAGAAAGCTGTTGAGAGCTGATGCCCCTACTTTGTACGTCTTCCAAATTTTGATCGGGGGCATTAATATTAAAGCTATCGAAATGCAATGAAAATTGGTTGTGCATGAGCCACTGCTGTGCCACTAAAACAGAATCGTCATCAGTCACAGTTGAGTTTTCAGTCACATCAGCCAATGTTCACTTTGTCCGGTTTTGTTGCAGCATGCCCAAATGTAATTTGCGTAATTTGGTACAAGTCAACAATCAAAATGTCATTAGTATTAGTTTAACCTTTAACCACACCACACCACACCAGCCTCTTATTCTGGTTGTTACGGTCTGTTCCGTGTAAAATTATGTCTTTATAATTATCGAAAATTGTTTAGCCAGCAACTGTTCGCCTAAATCAAAAATCTGTACGAAGAAATCGTTAGAAACATTAATACAGTTTGTTCGTCTCGATACACTACATGATTTCTTAAGTGTCGCAGTGTTTCCTATTCTAACGCGTTTTCAATTTAGCTTGCTTTGCAAGAAACAATATGGAGAACATTGAAATGTCTTAATAGCAACTGGCCATTTACGGTAACATGGCACACTGTGTGTTTCGGTGTACACGTATTACTGCAAATTAGTAAAAGAAAATGTATCTGATAATATACTGTATTTCTTAACTGTAAATCAGAGTAGCGTTTCTAAAAAGTTGGAGAAATTTGATGCTGTAAGTAATCGAAGAGCAGCTCATGAAAAATTATGATCGGGTGTGATTACTTATACAGTAATCTATTTTTTTTAGACGTCCCTAAAAAATCTTAAAGTCAGAAAATCGATTATAATAATCTGAATCGCGATACTGTCTATGTACAATTACCTTTGTCAAAATTCAAGTATCGGTAAACATTCTATCATGTAATCTTTTTTTCTTATTAAATTTCGTGACAATGGTTCGTTAGACTTTAATGGCTTCGACTATGGGAGATACAACAGTCACATTTTCGACAATTGCATTTTATACTAATTATAATGCTTTGTTATGTTCTCAAACTGATTGTCATGTGAAGTGCAAAGTATGCCCAAACGAAGGTTCCAAAAATTAAATTTTTTTACGACCATGTCCATACAGAAAAGCTTGTTGTTACGTATGCGAAAGCGCTGGTGTCTCCAAAAAGGAAGCAAAAATTTGCGTGATAAACTTTGGCTTATAGTAAGAACACAGATTTTCTCTAGTCCAATCATATTAATGATACGAGTATAATGCATGTGACAAAGATTGTCCCGAAAGTAAGCATTCTTTTATTAACTATCATTATCAACAACATTGTGTAACTAATCACAGGTGTAAATATTATAGTATTAGCGTTAGTGTACGCACGTGTCCAATTTAAATTTGACATATGTCAGTTCCAAATGAATGGACACAAATTCTGATTTGACATACAACATCCCTAGCATTGCATGACAAGTTGTTCATTCATCAATATGTATTCGACTATCATTATCATTTACTACTTTATTCACATCATTACGGTTTTGTAGTGGCAACAAAATACTGCGGTACATTTGTTTCTTTACTACAGATAGGCGAAGAGAAGGCACATCGGTTATACATAGCAGGATATAAAGATGGTTGTATAAGATTCCCAGAAAACTTACTAAATGGGTGCAAATATTAAAAGATGCTCGTAAACTGACGAATATTGACTTAACAGGTTAAGGTCATGGATCAAGTGATGAAGGCGAAATTTGTCGGTTACGTTACCTATTGTTTAACACTTGAGTTAATAATTATCACTGGCAATTAACTTCTTCAAACGGGACTGGCAATATCTCTACCTGTAATTGATCTTAAATTGGATTATATGCTCACGACTCTTACGTTCTGTCTGTATTATAAACTGCACTGTTTATATACATTCACTAACTATGTTCTAAAATTAGGACTATTGGATTGAATTTCGTAATTTCAAAGACTATTTCTCATTCTGTACTGAATGTCGAAAACTTATATATAAATAACTACTATTTTTACGTTCGCTCGCGTTACACTAGCATTACCGATTCTGGAGTTGTGATACGATCGAAATGTAGGGAGGAATAACGCCATCAAATGTTGAACAAACAATATTCTTAACTTGGAGAGTGTGCATCCAATTGAAATTTGTACGTGGTTTATATAATAAATAATAAGGCTTAGTTAAGCGTGATGCTAATCAAATTAACATGTGTTCATTACGGCCCGCCATTAGTTGGGGAAGGTATGAGCGATGCGATGTGAACGAACGTCCTGATACTTGTCAATAGTTTGGTTTTACAAGGCTGTTTATACCAATTGTTAGATGAATGTGTTTTCAGTCTCTTATTGCCTTCATGTAATTGCGGCCCGTGCGTGAAAAAGGGTTTAGCACCAACAACAACACAAATTGAACTTATTTGGTTAGAAATTAATTATTTTCAGGGTAAATCAATACTCTCGGCTGATATCTTCTCCCAAGATATTGCATCTCAGTACAAACATTTCAGTGGGCGTTGAAACTTTAAACTATCCCAAAACCGATAGCCGTTACGGGCACTTGTCCGTTTCCCGTAAGCCAAAAACCTCACTTTTTCTCGAATAGCGAACGGCCTTACATTAGTACACTATTATATATATTATATAGCTAACCGCAGCCAGCAAACAATAGTATGGCTGTCTTGATTTACTTTATTGGTGATAGCACATTAATATTGATCGTTTGTGTCCTCCCCCCTCATAATAATAATAATAATAATAATATCCTCCACTGCTAATCCGTGTTACAGTATGACTAGTTAATATATGATCTTAGGCATAGGTGATAAGTTCATTTCTCAATTATATCACATCGTAATTAACAAACATGTTGTTATCAAGCGAGGTCAATATAGAAAGAAAAATCATGCTTTACTCTTATATAAGAGGAGAGGGGTAATCAACAAGAGGTGTCCAATGTAAAAATATTCTGTGATATTCGACATTTATTTGATGCTTATTATTATATACAGCCATATCAATACATAATTACTATATAGTCATAATCTACAGATCCTTATTCTTCCTTACAAGGACACGATAAGTCTTTGAATACGTCTTACATCGATTGTATTCTTCAGCCAAGTCGATTAACATTTGTCGATACTCCTCTTTTGTGGCTTTTAAAGCAGGACAAAGGAGGGCTTCTAATGATTCGAATGCTTCTATGTGCCCTTCCGATGACTAGTAGAAGGCGTAACGTAATCGACATCAATCACAATATAAGTTGAACGTAATAAATCGATTTCCAATACTACTCGTTTTGCTTACCATTTCTCCCAGTTTTCCAGCCCAACTTCCGAAAGGGTGTATTTTCTCCTCTATAGGCGAAACGGTCACTACATCATTAAGATCTTCGAATGCTTTCAGTACATCCCTACTAGCAATGGGGTTAATTCCAATTTTTTCGAAATGTTCGGTTACTATATAACATGAACATTGAACATAAGTAATAAGAACCGTAAGCACCAAGTCATATCGTTCGCGTGTACAAACTAAAAGTATCAAAGTATGACTTACGAAAACTTGTTAGATATTTACTAAGCCCACCATTCCTATAATACTTAATATCCACATCCATCACCTCTATATACCCTCCAGTTTTTGTCACTCTGATCAGTTCTTTAATCAGTTTATCCTTCCATTCCTGCCAATTGATACTAACTATAAGAAATCCCTGTCGAACAAAATCGAATGTATCGTTGGGAAAAGGCAGGCCATCGAGAGCATTACACTGAAGAAATGCTACGTTCTTTTGTGTGACTTCAGGAAACACGGGGGCGATATCTACTCCAACAAACGTTGATAAAGGATATTCCGAAGACATGTTTATTAACCATGTTCCTTCAGCACAACTGTTGAAAAGGATAAATTGAAATATTGGTTTTTCAGATTTTGCATGCGAATTAACTTTTTTAAGTGTTGTATAAAAAGTACATATTACCCAACATCAAGTACTCTCGCACCAAACGACAATTCTTCGAGAACAGGAGCAGAGTAGTTGCCCTTCCATATAAATCTGTATAGATAATGTCTTTTGTAGGTTCTATATGCTTCTTGCTCATCGCAAGGTAAATAGCATTTTGAATCTTTATCTTTCAGGAAACGTCGTCCGTCAACATATACGAACATATCGAATATATTCTCTAGGCCTGCTGCAGTCTCAATTGGATCCAAAAATGACGCAGAAGACATGGTTGAACTTGTCGGCGATATGGTTGCTTCTTCATCATCGATGTTTTCTGATACCAGGCTCGAATCCTGGTGTGTAGACAGCGTGAGTTCGGGTTTTCCCGTCTTCCCCATTTTGAGGTTTACGATTTCAGGAGAATGTGTTGCTATATAAAAAGATGATTATTGATAACCATGACTTTGCTATATGGCGGCTGGATGGCGTGGGTTTATAAAGTTAATGTGATAATTATGAATAACTGCTGTGCATCGTGATTACTGCCATGTATTACATTCTGTGGTTATACAGGATCAGAGTACTGTAAACAGACGATAAGGAAAGTTCTTGTCTGGCATTTCTCGTTGTTATTTGTGCTGTTAAATCAACTTCTTGCTTAGCTTAGTAATTGAGATGAACAAATGATACTTGCATTTACTATTCCGATACTTTTCTTTCCAATGCTTCAAACTCTTCCTTCTTAAGTAATTACAAAAAATGCAGTAATAGTAAACAAGCGTGTGTGAAACTAACAAGTACATTGCGTAACACAAACGATAAATATAAATGATAAATAAAGTTTGGATCAATGCAATTGGCTGTGGGAGGAAAATCAAATAAACCGCCATATGAAAATTCTTTGTTTATACCGGATTCTCTTATAAGCTTTCCATATACCGATTCCGAAAGGACACGGAGAACTATGCCAACCCGTCCGGTATAAACAGAGTTGACTGTACTTAGCAGTAAACATAATAAAAGATTGCATGACCGGGCTTTGCGTTCAGTCTCTTTGAGATGGTAATAGGAAAAGTTCTTGCTTAATGAAGCTAATCTCTCTCAGTTTGGCCAATGCGAGGCTAGTTTTGAGTCTATATAACTTTTGTGTAAAAACAAAAATGTAATACTTAAAACGACGTTTCTCCTTTCAAATTTGGATCGACTGACTTGTCAGGTTATCAATTCGCCCATCTATTATGTTATCGGTTACAAGTCAGAATTCCGCGAATTACAAACAATTGATTGATCGTGCTTGCGAGTTTCATTCCATTATTGTATAAGGTATGCAAAATGTGTACTCTAATATATCAGTATTGTATGGCATCCCGAAAGAAGTCTCGTTTGCGAACTTTGTGAATCAGAAACGTAATTGGGTCAACTTTGATCCGTGCAATTTACTGGATTACCCGCCCGAAATATGCTAATTGGATAAAGTATATTCGTAAACCATCAAGCAGTTAGCTATAATTAGACTAACGCTATGGCGTGATAACATGATTGGGAACATTCATTGGCATTAGGTATCATAAGCCCAACTTGGCACTAAACACGCCCTTGTTAACATGTTCGCTTCAAGTAAGGTGCTAGTTAATATTGAAGGCGGCTACGTATATTATATGTTCACTACTCTGGTTTGCCGCTACAAAACAGAACGCCTTGTCATTTTATGATGTCAGTTTGAGTCACTCTTTTTAAAAGATTTAATCTTTAGCTTAGATTGTCCGACCCTTTCAGCAATAGCCCTGCCGCCTAGCAACTTACGAACAAGGAGAGAAATCATACCAGAGCAATACCAGATAGAATTACTTAATTCTAAGAGTATAATTAAGGAGACATATCACTTCGATTCGTCATTCCCATATCAATTTCCTTCAGATTTTGCATAGAGCACAAAAATGACAAATGCAATTCAAGCCAACACATTGGTGATAACAAATGCTTATTATTGATTGTATATCAAAATAATAATTTGTACAAAATTTATCCTAAAACTTTTTATTTTTGTCGTCACGTAAAGTGTGGTTTTGGAAACTATTGGCTCGGACCGCCTAGTCACAGCAATTTTGAGTTAAAGGTGCCAAATTTATGATTATACGTGAGTCATGTGATCAAAAGTGCCAAAAAAATAATGTAAATCATATTGGTTTACATATTGATATAGAGCAAATTTATTATAACTGTTCAAAAATGGAGAAGAAATAACACGATGTCGCTTATACTTTCTAACTGCATATTCAGCTTGCTTGGAATCAAGTCCTTTTCTATAAGCATCCATATAGGAAAAGACTTTCGTGCATAACCACGAATCTGTGCTTTAAAGAAATTAGATCCAACGCCTCTGGTACTATTTTTTGCAAACAACGCGAACACTGCGTTTTTTGACTGCTTAGCGTTTTTTGTAAGTTTTTTATATACAATTTTGTTTTCTAGTGCTTTTTCTCATCATTAATGATCACCACCATTACAAAATGATTGCATCTTACAGCTATAATGTCCATAGTTTCTATTACACACTCGAAACTTATAATAACAAAACTAGTGCGGGAGATGGGAC